TGGTGGATGGTGTGTGGTGGATGGTGTGAGGTGGATGAAGTGAGATGGATGGTGTGAAGTAGATGGTGTAAGGTAGATAAGGTTAGGTGGATGAGTTCAGGTGGATGGTGTGAGGTGGATGAGGTGAGGTGAATAAAGTGAGGGGAAGAGGTGAGGTGGGTGGTGTGAGGTGGATACATGAGATGGATGGTGTGAGGTGGGTGGTGTGAAGTGGGTGGTGTGAGGTGGATGGTGTGAGGTGGGTGGTGTGAGTTGTATGAGGTGAGGTGGATGAGAGTTGGATGGTATGTGGTGGATGAGGGGAAGTCGATGGTGTGAGGTGGATGAAGTGAGGTGGGTGGTGTGAGGTGGATAAGTTGAGGTGGGTGGTGTGAGGTGGATGAAGTGAGGTGGATGAGGTAAGGTGGATAAGTTGAGGTGGATGGTGTGAGGTGGATGAGTTGAGGTGGATGGTGTGAGGTGGGTGATGTGAAGTGGATGGTGTGAGGTGGGTGGTGTGAAGTGGATGGTGTGAGGTGGATGGTGTGAGTTGGATGAGCGAGATGGATGGTGTGAGGTGGATGGTGTGAGGTGGATGCATGAGGTGGATGGTGTGAGGTGGATGGTGTGAGGTGGATGGTGTGAGGTGGATGAGGTAACATGGATGAGATGAGGAGGATGGTGTGAGGCATCTGTTGTGAGATGGATGGTGTAAGGTGGATGAAGTGAGGTTTATGAGGTGATGTGGATGAGTTGAAGTAGATGGTGTGAGTTGGATGGTGTGAGCTGGATGAGGTGAGGTGGATGGTGTGAGCTGGATGAGGTGAGGTGGGTGGTTTGAGGTGGATGAGGTGAGGTGGATGATGTGAAGTGGATGAGGTGAGTAGTTGTATGGTGTGATGTGGATGAGTTGAGATGAATGGTGTAATGTGGATGAGGTGAGTTGAATGGAGTGAGGTGGAAGGTGTGAGGTGGTTGAGGTGAGATGAATGGTGTGAGGTGGATGGTGTGAGGTGGATGATGTGAGGTGCATGGTGTGAGGTGGGTGGTGTGATGTATGTAGTGTGAGGTTGATGGTGTGAGGTGGATGAGGTGAGGTGGGTGGTGTGAGCTGCATGGTGTGAGGTGGGTGGTGTGAGGTGGGTGGTGTGAGCTGCATGGTGTGAAGTGGGTGGTGTGAGCTGCGTGGTGTGAGGTGGGTGGTGTGAGCTGCATGGTGTGAGGTGGGTGGTGTGAGGTGGGTGGTGTGACCTGCATGGTGTGAGGTGGGTGGTGTGAGCTGCGTGGTGTATGGTGGCTGGTGTGAGGTGGGTGGTGTGAGCTGCATGGTGTGAGGTGGGTGGTGTGAGGTGGGTGGTGTGAGCTGCGTGGTGTGAGGTGGGTGGTGTGAGGTGGGTGGTGTGAGGTGGGTGGTGTGAGGTGGGCGGTGTGAGCTGCGTGGTGTGAGGTGGGTGGTGTGAGCTGCGTGGTGTGAGGTGGGTGGTGTGAGCTGCATGGTGTGAGGTGGGTGGTGTGAGGTGGGTGGTGTGAGCTGCATGGTGTGAGGTGGGTGGTGTGAGGAGGGTGGTGTGAGGTGGGTGGTGTGAGGTGGGTGGTGTGAGCTGCATGGTGTGAGGTGGGTGGTGTGAGGTGGGTGGTGTGAGCTGCGTGGTGTGAGGTGGGTGGTGTGAGGTGGGTGGTGTGAGGTGGGTGGTGTGAGGTGGGTGGTGTGAGCTGCATGGTGTGAGGTGGGTGGTGTGAGGAGGGTGGTGTGAGCTGCATGGTGTGAGGTGGGTATTGTGAGGTGGGTGGTGTGAGCTGCATGGTGTGAGGTGGGTGGTGTGAGGTGGGTGGTGTGAGGTGCGTGGTGTGAGGTGGGTGGTGTGAGCTGCGTGGTGTGAGGTGGGTGGTGTGAGCTGTGGTGTGAGGTGGGTGGTGTGAGGTGGGTGGTGTGAGGTGGGTGGTGTGAGCTGCATGGTGTGAGGTGGGTAGTGTGAGCTGCGTGGTGTGAGGTGGGTGGTGTGAGGTGGGTGGTGTGAGCTGCATGGTGTGAGGTGGGTGGTGTGAGGTAGGTGGTGTGAGGTGGGTGGTGTGAGCTGCGTGGTGTGAGGTGGGTGGTGTGAGGTGGGTGGTGTGAGCTGCATGGTGTGAGGTGGGTGGTGTGAGGTGGGTGGTGTGAGGTGGGTGGTGTGAGCTGCATGGTGTGAAGTGGGTGGTGTGAGGTGGGTGGTGTGAGGTGGGTGGTGTGAGCTGCATGGTGTGAGGTGGGTGGTGTGAGGTGGGTGGTGTGAGGTGGGTGGTGTGAGGTGCGTGGCATGAGGTGGGTGGTGTGAGCTGCATGGTGTGAGCTGCATGGTGTGAGGTGGGTGGTGTGAGGTGGGTGGTGTGAGGTGGGTGGTGTGAGGTGGGTGGTGTGAGCTGCGTGGTGTGAGGTGGGTGGTGTGAGCTGCGTGGTGTGAGGTGGGTGGTGTGAGCTGCATGGTGTGAGGTGGGTGGTGTGAGCTGCGTGGTGTGAGGTGCGTGGTGTGATGTGCGTGGTATGAGGTGCGTGGTATGTGGTGTGAGGGTGGAGACTTCCTGTGTGGCCTTTGCTCCTTTCTAAGCCACTGCTCAGGTACTCACACCCACACAGCTCCCGTTGTTTTGTGGTTGGGTCACAGCTGCTCTGTGCTCTGTGTGGCCCATTACGGAGGTACAGGGTGGGTCAGACAGTGTGATTCCACCCTCCCCTCCCTGGGGTCTGTGGCGTGGATGTGTAATATGGCACAGTGTAACTTCCCATCTTAGTCTGGATGTGACTAAGGAGATGGCCGGGCGGCTCGTGGCCCGTGGGCTGAGCTGGTAGTCACTGCCGGTGGAGCCCAGCAGGGCCCCACGTCCCCTCATGCCCGGGCACGTCCTGCGCTACAGGATGTTCACGTGCGTTTGGCCATGCATGCAAGGGGCCGGCTCTCCAGCAGACCCTGTCCCTGGCACCACCCGCGTTTCTGTCCTTGACAGTATTTTGTGAGACAGTTATTTTTACCAAACCAGTTATGAAAATCATCCCTGTTGCTCGTGAAGGAAACGCTTTTGCTCAAGATAGAAGATCAGGTTGTCTGGGCTTCCGTGTTCTACTGAGTAGTTTACAGTCAGTGGGGAGCGTGTCAGACTTCTGCCACGCCAGACAGGACGTTAGCTCCACGCCATTCCGTGCTGGTGGTGCTGGCTCATTGTGGTATCGCTTTAATGGAGATTTTGTAAGAAGTCAGCAATGGGAGCTGTGTCACGTGACCCCCCTCTCTGTGCTCCTCATCTCTGGTTCTGATTGGACATGCAGATGCTGTGGCCGGCATCCCAGTGAAGGTTTTGTTTTCCATAAAGAAGTGTCAGCATAGATTTTATGTCTGTCCCCACGGCAGCTCACGTGAGCCTTCCCCAGAAGCTCAGACGCAAGCCCAAGGAGAACGTGGCTCACTGCAAGAGAGGGTCCGGGTGAGGCCTGGGGCCGGGGCGTCTGACGGGGATTCCCAGGTGACCCCGGAAGATCCCTCGGTGCCCAGCCACGCCTCCGGCACCACCCCCGGTCCTCCTCTCCTTCCTCTGAGTGTGGGGATGGGAAGGCAGACCCTCGTGTTTCTCTGGGGGAATATGCAGAGTCAACAGCGGGCCTCTGCTCCGTGCTGCCGGGCTAGCTGCTGGAAGAGCCCCGTGGGAAAGCGCGCTGTATCCAGAGGTGCCGATCATCACCCGTGGAGTTTGTTGATGAGGAAGCCTTCAGAAACTATCACACGAGCTCCTGCCCCGTCTCTTAATCTTAGGGGTCAGATCCCCACAGCTGGGGAGACAGGAGGCCTAGGGGCCAGGGCTGCAGCCGCAGGATGAAATCAGGCAAGCGAGTCTTGCATGCCACTTCCAGCGCCCATCTGCTCGGCGATGCGGGCTGGGGAGCCCACGAGGCACCCCAGGGCCTGCACACACAGCTCACATTCATGCGTGGAGAGCAGGGACAAGACGCCCCAAGCAAAGACTGCGGAAGCTACCAGAATGCAGGGCCCCTGGAGGAGGGAGGGAGGTCGGGGCTCAAGGCTTGGTGCAATGGCTCCTGGCTGTGGGGGAGGTGTGCGCGTGCAGTTTTGCCGCCGGTTTGCAGTGCATTAGGGATTTGTCAGTTAATGCTCTGGACCCCATCCGAGCCTCTGTGTCCTCACTGGAGAGAGAGCAGCAGCCTTGGGCTGTGGTAGGGGCGGCTAAGACGGTGTCCGTGGAGGTGCTGCTCAGCGCATGGGCACACGGCCCTGCACGTGACTCGGGGTCTCGGTGAAGCAGGCGCCAGGCTGATTTCACGGGGTGGCCTCCCCTGATCTGTCAGCCTCGGAACCACCGCTTCCCACCAAGCCCAGCCGCGGGCACAGCTCAGGGCCCAGCACTGCATCCCACCAAGCCCGGCCGCAGGCACAGCTCAGGGCCAGCACCGCATCCCACCAAGCCCGGCCACGGGCACAGCTCAGGGCCAGCACCGCTTCCCACCAAGCCCGGCCACGGGCACAGCTCAGCCCAGCACCACTTCCCACCAAGCCCGGCCACGGGCCCAGCTCAGGGCCCAGCACTGCATCCCACCAAGCCCGGCCGCGGGCACAGCTCAGGGCCAGCACCGCTTCCCACCAAGCCCAGCCGCAGGCACAGCTCAGGGCCAGCACCGCATCCCACCAAGCCCAGCCACGGGCACAGCTCAGGGCCAGCACCGCTTCCCACCAAGCCCGGCTGTGGGCACAGCTCAGGGCCAGCTCTCACTGGGACACTCACTTGGCAACATGGTTCTAGAGCAGTCCTTCTCTAGAGTCTTCTCTGCCACTTCCGCGGAGTGCACGTGTCTGAGCGTCCTAGGCGGCACTGCTGGAGTGGGCTGCACAGCCCTGTGGGCGGACGGCCTGGGGAAGGGCTCCCAGTGTGCCAGCGTCCACACACCAGCGCCCTCCTCCCATTCCGGGGGGAGTCTGTCCCCGCTCCTCGGTGTCCCTTGTGAATCTGTGAATAACAGGAAAACATGCACATTTTTTCAGGCTGTCCTGGTGCCAAAAAGCACGAGTTTCTGACGAGCATCCTGGATGCGCTGTCCACAGACATGGTCCACGCGGTCTCGGACCCATCCACCTCCTCCAGCCGGTAAGCCGACGCGTGCCGCGGAGCCGTGAGCGGCGGGGAGCCCGGCAGCCGCAGGCACTGGAAAGCTGGGAGGCCGTGGGCTGTGCGAGGCAGGCGGCATGTGCGGTGCGGGGTGCAGGAGGGACTGAGGAAAGGCGCGGGCCCCAGCCGGAGCCGCCTTGCTCCATGTGCCCTGAGAGGGAACCGAGGGACGGAGCCTGAGGACCACGGGAAGATCGAGTGGAAGTGTTCAGGCCAAAATTCTCAGGAGGCTTCTATTCATCGAAGTGCACGGCCTGGCCTGTCTTCAGGCACGGGGGTCAGAGGCATTCGTGACAATAACATTGCTTTCCATGTGAGCGTGGCTTTCCTGCCTGCACAGGAGATGGAGCCCAGGTGTCCTGTGGGTTTGGCACCCAGTGGGCACTCACAGTCCTCTGTCTCCAGCAGAACCAGGAAATGGGGCTTCCCACAAGACACCAGGGGACGGGGCTCCCCCGGGACACCAGGGGACGGGGCTCCCCCAGGACACCAGGGGATGGGGTTCCCCGAGACGCCAGGGGACGGGGCTCCCCGGGACACCAGGGGACGGGGCTCCCCGGGACACCAGGGGACGGGGCTCCCCCAGGACACCAGGGGACGGGGCTCCCCGGGACACCAGGGAACGGGGCTCCCCGGGACACCAGGGGACGGGGCTCCCCGGGACACCAGGGGACGGGGCTCCCCGGGACACCAGGGGACGGGGCTTCCCACAGGACACCAGGGGACGGGGCTCCCCGGGACACCAGGGGACGGGGCTCCCCCAGGACACCAAGGAACGGGGCTCCCCAGGACACCAGGGGACGGGGCTCCCAGGGACACCAGGGGACGGGGCTCCCCGGGACGCCAGGGGACGGGGCTCCCCGGGACGCCAGGGGACGGGGCTCCCCGGGACGCCAGGGGACGGGGCTCCCCGGGACGCCAGGGGACGGGGCTCCCCCAGGACGCCAGGGGACGGGGCTCCCCCAGGATGCCAGGGGACGGGGCTCCCCAGGACACCAGGGGACGGGGCTCCCCCAGGACACCAGGGGACGGGGCTCCCCCAGGATGCCAGGGGACGGGGCTCCCCAAGGGACCAGGGGATGGGGCTCCCCGGGGACACCAGGGGACGGGGCTCCCCGAGACACCAGGGGACGGGGCTCCCCAGGACACCAGGGGACGGGGCTCTCTGGGGACACCAGGGGACTGGGCTCCCTGGGGACACCAGGGGACGGGGTTCTCTGGGGAAACAGCAGTGGCACCTCAGCCATCAGGGTTCCCCGGAGACAATTACTGTTCAGTCATTGGTCTGAACACTCTAAAGAATTTTCCGTGTGCAGAGTTCAGAGTTGCTGCACTCCACACTGGTCTCAGTCCTGTCCCCAAGCGCTTGCTTGTCCACTGGTCTAAAGACTAAAGCCTTGCACGAAACCTCCTCTCCTCGGATCTTTGCTAAAAGACGACGTGGGGTCAAATGAGGTGATGCTAATGGGAAACAGGACAATTGGGTACTAAGTTAATTTTTTTTAATGACCCGAATGTTAATTTACATATCATGTTCTGGGAAGCACAGTTCTCCTCTGAAAGCAATAAATGTGTTCCTGTGTAGAAACTCCGCACGCGGGGAGCTCAGTCAGTGGTGGCGGCCGGTGGCCGAGCCCGCTGCTGGCTGTGTGGGGTCTGGGATGCAGGACTGGTCCTCAAGGCCTCCATCCTGACCCTCACTACTCCAAACCCACTTGAAACGCCGCTGCTAAAAAGCCTTTCCTCAGTGAGCCTGAAAAGCAGATCTCCAGCAGATGCAGACGGTGGAGAGGCGGCAGGCAGGGCCCCGGGCGCGGGTGCTGGGCCTCCCCAGCGTGGAGAGGCGGCAGGCAGGGCCCCGGGCGCCGGCGTGGGCCTCCCCAGCGTGGAGAGGCGGCAGGCAGGGCCCCGGGCGCCGGCGTGGGCCTCCCCAGCGTGGAGAGGCGGCAGGCAGGGCCCTGGGCGCCGGTGTGGGCCTCCCCAGCGTGGAGAGGCGGCAGGCAGGGCCCCGGGCGCGGGTGCTGGGCCTCCCCAGCGTGGAGAGGCGGCAGGCAGGGCCCTGGGCGCCGGCGTGGGCCTCCCCATCCTGATTCAGGTGTGTTCCTTCCAGGCTCTCGGAACCAGACCCCAGCCACACCCTGGAAGAGCGCGTGGTGCACTGGTACTTCAAGCTACTCGATAAAAACTCCAGCGGAGACATCGGGAAGAAAGAAATCAAGCCTTTCAAGAGATTCCTTCGGAAGAAATCCAAGCCCAAGAAATGTGTGAAGAAGTTTGTTGAGTATTGCGATGTGAACAACGACAAGGCCATCTCTGTGCACGAGCTCATGGGCTGCCTGGGCGCCTCCAAGGAGGAAGGTAAGGCAGGCACCAGGAAGCGCCACAGTAAGAGCCGCCCTCCCCCACGCCACTGCCCGGCGCTGCCTGTGTGCCGACGGGGTCTGTGTGCCCACGGGGTCTGTGTGCCCACGGGGTCTGTGTGCCCACGGGGTCTGTGTGCCCACGGGGTCTGTGTGCCCACGGGGTCTGTGTGCTGACTGTGTCGGGTCTGTGTGCTGACGGGGTCTGTGTGCCCACGGGGTCTGTGTGCCCACGGGGTCTGTGTGCCCACGGGGTCTGTGTGCCCACGGGGTCTGTGTGCTGACTGTGTCGGGTCTGTGTGCTGACGGGGTCTGTGTGCCCACGGGGTCTGTGTGCCCACGGGGTCTGTGTGCTGGCGGGGTCTGTTTGCCCACGGGGTCTGTGTGCCCACGGGGTCTGTGTGCTGACTGTCAGGTCTGTGTGCTGACTGTCAGGTCTGTGTGCCGACGGGGTCTGTGTGCCCACGGGGTCTGTGTGCTGACTGTCAGGTCTGTGTGCCCACGGGGTCTGTGTGCTGACTGTCAGGTCTGTGTGCTGACGGGGTCTGTGTGCTGGCGGGGTCTGTGTGCTGACTGTCAGGTCTGTGTGCTGACTGTCAGGTCTGTGTGCTGACGGGGTCTGTGTGCTGAGGGGGTCTGTGTGCTGACTGTCAGGTCTGTGTGCTGACGGGGTCTGTGTGCTGAGGGGGTCTGTGTGCTGACTGTCAGGTCTGTGTGCTGAGGGGGTCTGTATGCTGACTTCATAGGCTGCTCTGTCTGTGTATTGATCATGTCTGTGTGTTGTCTTCCATAGGCTGTTGTGTCTGTGTATTGACTCTGTCTGTGTGTTGACTCTGTCAGTTGACTCTGTGTGCTGACTTCATAGGCTGCTCTGTCTGTGTATTGATCATGTCTGTGTGTTGTCTTCCACAGGTGGTTGTGTCGGTGTGCTGACTGTGTCTGTGTGTTGACTTTGTAGGCTGCTGTGTCTGAACAGTCACTGTGGGGTTCTAGGCTGTGCATGTTGCTGCAGGACATTTCTGCATGCAGAAGTGACCATGCGCCGTGTCGCGACCTTGCCTCCAGGCTCCCAGGTTGCGAGGGCACAGCCGGGTGCCGCTCTTAGGCTGCTCCAGTCTGTGAGATTGGCTCTTGTTTTTGCCTGGCCTGGCTAGACCATGCTTCTGCCACTTACACCTCCTGCCATAGCTGAAATGATAGGCAAATGGCACAGGGCCCGGCTCTTGGCTGAGATTGGCTCTTGGAAACCCTTTTCTCCCAATGGCCACAGCCTGACACCCCCAAGCTCCTCCTCCCAAGTAGGGAACACTGCAGGCCCGATCCTCACTCCCTGCCCTGGCTCTGCTGAGCCTTTTTTTAGGCAAAGCCTGGCTGCAGTGTTTGAAGCAGCTGCATGTCCACATGCCCTCTCCCACAAGGCAGCACTAAAGCTCAGGACAGAGGAATAGGCTTTGTGCCCTGGCCTGGGCCCCGGAAGCCTCCGGCATAGGAGGTCCAAGCACAAACTCACCAGGGAGATCCACCAGAGCCCAAGTCACCTACTCCGAGCAGCCGCGCAGGCCCAGCGGCCCAGCTGTCACAGGCACGCCTCTGCTCAGCCTCACCCCCGGGAGCACCGAGGACGGGAAAGCCCGGCCAGGGCGGCCTTCGTGGAGGTCTGGCAGGGTGAGGACAGGCTGCTTGCACGGGCTCTGCCCGGTCAGATGCAGGGGCCAGCGGCGCGCTGTATCCCCAGCAAGGTGACGGCGTCTTTCCAAGACCGCGCCGGCCAAGCCGAACGGGACACGCTGAGAAGAAGCAGACGCCCCCGGGGGAAATAGCCGTGGGGAAGCGGCACGGACGCCACGCAAGCTGCTCGCCTTTGGAGGCCCCGGGCAGGCAGGATCCGCGCCCACGCACGGCACGGGCCGCAGGAATAGGGTGTCCGGACCCCGCACCCCACGGAGGTCCTCAGACAAGGAGGACAAGGAACCCCTCAGCCACGCACAGGCAGCGGCCAGTCAGGCAGCGCAGGCACTGGACCGGGGGCGGCTGCCGGCCCCCAAGGGTTGGTGTCCGTCCCGTGTGGGAATGCTTCCATTGTGGAGGACGCAGTTATCTTCTGCAGGTCCTTTGACAAATGGATGCGCCGAGGTTCACTGTCTCCTCAGACAGCCCGGATCCACACCAGCCCCTCTCACTCACCAGCCAACACGAGCAATGCTCTGGAAACAGGAGAACCGCGCTCAGAAATGAGCCTGGGATCTGCCTTCCTGTATCATTCTTAGTTGACCACATAACCTTTTCATTTTCCCATAAAGGTTTTGACGTTTTCCCTCGCATTTCCCCCACAAGTCTATTAAGACTTATTTCTCCTACCCAGTCCGTTTGAAAGACTGAGAAGTCAGAACTCCCGCCTCCCTCCAGCGTCCATCCGCTTGCACACTTCAGGGACTCAGAATGTCACTAGATTTTTGTTTCCTGGTTTTTGGGGTTTTTTTTTTTTTGTTTCTGCCGCTTTTGTTGTTTTTTCTAACGGTTCAAGGTGCATTTATAGTCTGACAGATATAGGAAATGAGTAAGAGCATAGAAAATGCCTTCATTCTCAGTTTCAAGAAGTATTCTAATGCATATGTCTGTACATACAGACAGCATTTCCTATATGGAGTGGAATCATGGTATAGATGCCTTCCAACTTAGTCACACTGATTTTAAGCAATTACAACAGATTTCATCTTCAAGCTATTGCAGTTGAGACATGTTGGAAAGCACCATCTAAATGATCACTCTCATAAAATATAAAAAAAGATGATTATCTGAAAGCAATCAAGAAGTTATAAAGACAAGAAAGCATGTGTTTATAAAGACCTGGGGGAATAAAGGTTCAGAAAAGATTACGTGATTTCATAATTATCCAAAAGAGCGCACTGCGAGGAACCGCGGCAATTATGCAGAACTGAACCTCAGAAATACCGATTTCTGATCAAATTATCTTTTCAACCCAACAGCCATGCTAGCTGCAATCTCACAGGTGAATCGCCTCCAGCCGGGTTTGTGTAGTGGGCAGCTGGGAGTAATTACGTCTCCATCGCGACGTTGAACCTGCCTACCCCAACTGCTGGGCAGGCGGCCGGGCAGTCTGCCAGGCCTCCCTGCCCTTGGTGTCTCTGTAAAACACTCCTCCTCGAGAGGCAGCGCTGAGCCTTGTTTTGAGATGACTGACCTATGATGTTTGCCAGCCCTTCATGCATTTCCATATCATTTCCCCCCACTGATTCTCAGATGGATATAGCAAGTTGTTCTTCTTGCACTTAAGAATATCAATTCTGGGCTGGGAAGGTGGCTCAGTGGTAGAGCACTTGCCTTGCATGCCTGAGGCCCTGGGTTCAATTCCTTAGCACCACATAAGCAAAAAGAAAAAAGCCGGAAGTGGCACTGTGGCTCAAGTGGTAGAGTGCTAGCCTTGAGCTGAAGAGCTGAGGGTCAGTGCCCAGGCCCAGAGTTCAGGCCCCACGACTGGACCCAAAAAAAAAAAATCAATTCTTTTCTTACTGTGAAATATCTGTAATTTGCAGCCACATTTTAAGAGATTGGCGTTAGCCATAAAACAAAGTGACACAAGCTGCCCATGGTCAAATAGCCATCGGCTTAGAGCAGGTGGAGGTGGCATCCGAGGATCCTTGGAGAATGTTGGCATTTTCTCAGCACACAGAGGAGATGGAGGTGGACAATAGGAGCCCTGCTACTCCGTATACTTGTAGTAAGTAGATAGACATCAGCCACGGATGGACCAGGGCTGACCAGTGCGGTCCCCATTGGCACTGAAACCTGGACATCCCAATGGACTGGGGTTGGAACCACAGAACCGACAGCACATCTTCCAGCTCCAGTTCCCTTCTGCTAACAGAGTTTCATGGGGTAATATAAACCTGAAAGATTTCAAGAACTGTGTGCCAATGTGTGGCTCAAGCTTCCACCCTAGAATCCACTCTCCTTGGAGAAGGTGCAGGAAAGTTCTAGAAGGAAGGTCATCATCTGGTGAGTGGGCAGAATTCTTCTCAGGATTTGAGGAATGGAGAAGCATTCTTCTAACAGTGGACAAGGGAGCACAATGGAAGATGTGGCTCTGATGAAGATGTCCGCACTCATCAATTGATGGGCTATATTGAAAACAAAATGCTTTAAAAGTAAAGTTAAGAGGCCAGATGCCAATGGCTCATGCCTGTCATCCCAGCTACTCAGAAAGCTGAGATCTGAGGATCATGGTTTGAAGCCAGCCCAGGCAGGAAAGTCTTGGAGACGCTTTATTTCCAATTAACCACCCCAAAAAAGCCAGAGGTGGGGCTGCGGCTCAAGTGGTAGAGCACTAACCTTGAGCAAAAAAGCTCAGGGACAGGGTCCGGGCCCTGAATTCCAGTCCCAGAAAATTAATTAATTGATTAATTTAAGGCAAAACAAGGACTAGAAAACTTGAATTGCTAGAGAATGTTTATGATGACTTAGAACCCACTGCTCCCGATGTGTGCTCATGTATAATGTATAGCGTCTACAACTATGTATTACTTCATGTGATTAACACCACCAGTTGATGTCTGTCTGAAATTATATATCAAGTGAAGAGTATTTAATTTTTAATCATTTCTTTCCTGCTAGCCCCCAGAGCCAACGCCGACAGTGCTTCCAATAGACAGGTGAGTGTGTCTATAGTTCAGGCTTACCTTTCCATTTCTGCGGCAGGTAGGCCGCAGAAATGCAGGCTGCTGCAGACCCTGTGGGTGTGGCTGGGAGGGGCGTGGCCAGGGAGGGAGGGGAGAGGCGTGGTCTGGGGGGCGAGGCCCGGGGAGGGGCCAGCGAGGGGCGTGGCCAGGGGGCGTGGCCGGCCTCCAATTCCACCTGGAATCACAAACTTGATTTTTCAGATCTTTAAAGTTCTGCCCAGGTTTTCAATCGCCTGAAATGTCCGGTACCGCTGCATTTTAAGGAGTACTCCTGAGTGCTGAATTTGGGGACATATAGTGTCCTGGGTTTTTGTACCTTATCTCCTGGATTTTGAGGAGAGAGCAGATCAAGCCCGGGCCCTGGGTTTCCGTGTGTGTGTGTGTGTGTGTGTGTGTGTGTGTGTGCGCGCGTGTGTGTGTTTGCTCTTGTGAATCCACACCCGGCCTGCGCGACCAGGCGGCCAGGTGCGAGCTGCTCCCTGGAAGACCACCGGAGCGGGCTGTTTACACTCCCCGCACCTGTGTGACCTGGGCTGGCTCCCCGGCCGGCCTCTTCACGGGCTGTGGCTTTTAAGTGGGGACCTCCAGCACACACCTTGCTTGTAATTTAAAACCGCTTCGTTAGCAAAGACGTGTGATTCATTTTCCTTTGTGTAGCAAATGTTTATGGTTTTAGCTTTTCAAATCCACCACAAATCACTTGTACTTGAAACTAGGGCCGGTCTGAAAGCAATTACCCAACCACACTCCGAAGACCAGATGATGGCGATTACTGTGGATGTGTGCCCCACTCGATCTTAAACTCCAAACAGTCTCACTGGTGTTTTTCCCAGCAACTGCAGCTTGCCTGTCTCCGCAGTGTTTTCTGTGGCTCCTGAGTGTGGACCGCCCCCAGCCCTTCCCAGGAGGGCTGTGGCTATGCGGGGCCTGGGCCGGGGCACTGGGGCCAGGCATGCTCTCCAGGTAGGTGAAGAACGCAGCCTTCTTCATATGTCTGTCTCTTTTTTTTCCAGCCCCGGAAGCAAGGGTGAATGGCGTGCCTACCCCTGGCAGTTTCTAGACATGTGAGACTCTCCCTCACCAAAGCGCAATTAAAGATAAGAACCAAAACACATAGTATTTGCACTTTGTACTTTACATGTAAATTCACCCTGTAGAAAGGAGATATTTAAACGGACCGTTTTAATCTGTGACGCGGAGGCTGGCGTTGGCAACGCCGTGGCGTGCAGCGTCGTGTCTGTTCTCGGCTGTGGACGTGGACGGGCCGCCGGGCGCGGAGCGTCTGTGCCTCGGTTCTTGGTCTGCGCAGAGGGTGCGGAAGGCGCCGGCGGCACTCGGGCCACCCCTGCCTCTCTGCAGCCCTCCGGTGCCCAGCACTGTTGGCCCACGTGCGGGGTTGCTGTCTCCGAGGCGTCGGTGCCGGCCCTGGATACACGCCGCAGCCTGTCCCTGGGGTCTTGTGTTGCCTGGTCGGGTTTCAGAATCTGGCTCACGCCCCCAGTCACGTGTGGCAAAGTTTGCCGTCACGGCCTGTGCTGTCAGAAGCTTGCAGCCCACAGAGCCCCGCTCCAAAGCACAGGCCTGGTTCCAGCCACCAGCCCTGCCCACCAGCTCAGCTCCGTGTCGGCCTGCTCCTCTCTTCCACATGGCTGACCCAGGCTCCTGTGGCCCCGCGCCAGGCCCCGTGGAAGGGAAGACCACCCCACACAGACCACAAACAGGCTCCGGCTGAAGGCACAGCAGGCTATGTGGAGGGGGCGGACCGGCTGCAGGCGTGAACACCCACCGCCCATGGTTGCGGCTCCCCTCTTTCCTAACGCCTCAGGGGAGAGGAGGCATGCTGAGGGTGTCCTGATGGTCCAGCGAGAGGGGACCGGGAGCTGGATGCCCACCCTGGGGGCAGTGGGCAGTCCTTCACGTGTGGCCAGAGCTGCCTCCAGACCTGAGCAGTGGTCAGTCCTGGCCTGCTGGCCCCGAGGGCCTGTGTGGAGCATGGGCGGGAGCTGGAGCAGCCCGTGAAGCCTCAGCTCAGACTCTGGCAGACCGTCCTTCCTGGCCTGCGTCTCCCGCCAGTTATGAACGCTGGTGTCTAGTTGTGTGTGCAGATAGTTCATGAGCCTTTTGCTTGTTTAAGCTACGCAACGGTTAAACACATGCCAGCATTGTCTAGGTAACTCTTACCATCCTAAATGTTTTGGATAATCTTTTATATTTTTGAACTTCAAATTTAATCGTTTTTCTTAGATTAAAATATGCTATCAAAAGTGTATTTAGTCCTTTCTTTCCAGACTTTTTGAAACGTGTGTGTGTGTGTGTGTGTGTGTGTGTGTGTGTGTGTTCCAGTACTGGGACTTGAACTCAGGTCCCGGGCACTGTACCTGCGTTTTTTTGCGCAAGGCTAGCAGGCTTCGCTCTGGACCTTGTGCTGGTGTTTTGGAGACTGAGTCTTGCAGAGGTTCCTACCCGGCCTCTCGGGACACGCGTAGACCTTCTCCTTCAGGCCTTTTGGACAGATGCAGCATGACCTCCATCAGCGATTGTCTGTGCGTTGAGGGGTATCGCCTTGCTCACAGGACTTTCACGGTGCTACGTGAGGCAGCCCTCTGCTCTCAGCCCGAGGGCTGAGATTTCCGGTGTGCACCGCCACCGGCATCATCCTCTCCAGCACTGCCGTTATCATTGCTAGGAAAATGCTGCCATTGTTCTTTCCTTGGCCTGCCTTGGTCTTGGCAGGTATAACGGACCGGATCAAACCCTCGTATCGATCATGCTACGTTCTGGGGCCTGGGCCCAGCGTGGTGGCCCAGACACACAGCATGGCAGCAAGCGGGGCCAGGTCTGGCTTCCTTTCGGGAACCTCGGCCTCTGACCCCATCTGACCTCAGTACTCCCACGGGTGTTATTTCCAAACACCAACCCCGGGGGTCGTCTTCCACCTACATGTTTGGGGACACAATTTGGTCTCCAGCAGGTTCTCTATTTAGACCATAAAGTTCATTCAAAAGCAAGAGATGATAGAGTCAACTTAGAGATGAGTCCCTGGAGCAAGTAATGCAGAAGGAGAGGGCACAGGCACACAGTGTGACAATGGCCACCGCAGCAGGTGGACACGCTGGACATGGGGTGAGGACATGGGCAGCAGGTGGACACGCTGGACATGGGCAGCAGGTGGACACGCTGGGCGTGGGGTGAGGACGTGGGCAGCAGGTGGACACGCTGGGCGTGGGGTGAGGACGTGGGCAGCAGGTGGACACGCTGGGCGTGGGGTGGGGACGTGGGCAGCAGGTGGACACGCTGGGCGTGGGGTGGGGACGTGGGCAGCAGGTGGACATGCTGGGCGTGGGGTGGGGACGTGGGCAGCAGGTGGACACGCTGGGCGTGGGGTGGGGACGTGGGCAGCAGGTGGACACGCTGGATGTGGGGTGGGGACGTTGGCAGCAGGTGGACACGCTGGATGTGGGGTGGGGACGTGGGCAGCAGGTGGACACGCTGGGCGTGGGGTGGGGACGTGGGCAGCAGGTGGACACGCTGGGCGTGGGGTGGGGACGTGGCAGCAGGTGGACACGCTGGATGTGGGGTGAGGACGTGGCAGCAGGTGGACACGGTGGACGTGGGGTGAGGACGTGGGCAGCAGGTGGACACACTGGACGTGGGGTGGGGACGTGGCAGCAGGTGGACACGCTGGGCGTGGGGTGAGGACGTGGGCAGCAGGTGGACACGCTGGACGTGGGGTGGGGACGTGGGCAGCAGGTGGACACGCTGGACGTGGGGTGAGGACGTGGGCAGCAGGTGGACACGCTGGGCGTGGGGTGGGGACGTGGGCAGCAGGTGGACACGCTGGGCGTGGGGTGGGGACGTGGGCAGCAGGTGGACACGCTGGGCGTGGGGTGGGGACTTTGGCAGCAGGTGGACATGCTGGATGTGGGGTGGGGACGTGGGCAGCAGGTGGACACACTGGGCACGGGGTGAGGACGTGGGCAGCAGGTGGACACGCTGGGCGTGGGGTGAGGACGTGGGCAGCAGGTGGACACGCTGGGCATGGGGTGGGGACGTGGGCAGCAGGTGGACACGCTGGATGTGGGGTGGGGACGTGGGCAGCAGGTGGACACGCTGGACGTGGGGTGAGGACGTGGGCAGCAGGTGGACACGCTGGGTGTGGGGTGGGGACGTGGGCAGCAGGTGGACACGCTGGGCGTGGGGTGGGGACTTTGGCAGCAGGTGGACATGCTGGATGTGGGGTGGGGACGTGGGCAGCAGGTGGACACACTGGGCGTGGGGTGAGGACGTGGGCAGCAGGTGGACACGCTGGGCGTGGGGTGAGGACGTGGGCAGCAGGTGGACACGCTGGGCGTGGGGTGGGGACGTGGGCAGCAGGTGGACACGCTGGATGTGGGGTGGGGATGTGGGCAGCAGGTGGACACGCTGGGCGTGGGGTGAGGACGTGGGCAGCAGGTGGACACGCTGGGCGTGGGGTGGGGACTTTGGCAGCAGGTGGACATGCTGGATGTGGGGTGGGGACTTTGGCAGCATGTGGACACGCTGGACGTGGGGTGAGGACGTGGGCAGCAGGTGGATACGCTGGGCGTGGGGTGGGGACGTGGGCAGCAGGTGGACGCGCTGGGCGTGGGGTGGGGACGTGCAGCAGGTGGACACGCTGGACACGGGGTGAGGACGTGGGCAGCAGGTGGACACACTGGGCGTGGGGTGGGGACGTGGGCAGCAGGTGGACACGCTGGACGTGGGGTGAGGACGCGGGCAGCAGGTGGACATGCTGGGTGTGGGGTGAGGACGTGGGCAGCAGGTGGACACGCTGGGCGTGGGGTGGGGACTTGGGCAGCAGGTGGACACGCTGGACGTGGGGTGAGGACGTGGGCAGCAGGTGGACATGCTGGGCACGGGGTGGGGATGTGGCAGCAGGTGGACACGCTGGACATGGGGTGAGGACGTGGGCAGCAGGTGGACACGCTGGGCGTGGGGTGGGGACGTGGGTAGCAGGTGGACACGCTGGGCGTGGGGTGGGGACGTGGGCAGCAGGTGGACACGCTGGGCGTGGGGTGAGGACGTGGCAGCAGGTGGACACGCTGGACGTGGGGTGAGGACGTGGCAGCAGGTGGACACGCTGGGCGTGGGGTGAGGACGTGGGCAGCAGGTGGACACGCTGGGCGTGGGGTGGGGACGTGGGTAGCAGGTGGACACGCTGGGCGTGGGGTGGGACGTGGGCAGCAGGTGGACACGCTGGGCGTGGGGTGAGGACGTGGCAGCAGGTGGACACGCTGGACGTGGGGTGAGGACGTGGCAGCAGGTGGACACGCTGGGCATGGGGTGAGGACGTGGCAGCAGGTGGACACGCTGGGCGTGGTGTGAGGACGTGGGCAGCAGGTGGACACGCTGGGCGTGGGGTGGGGACGTGGGCAGCAGGTGGACACGCTGGGCGTGGGGTGGGGACGTGGGCAGCAGGTGGACAGGCTGGACGTGGGGTGAGGATGTGGGCAGCAGGTGGACACGCTGGGCGTGGGGTGAGGACGTGGGCAGCAGGTGGACACGCTGGGCGTGGGGTGAGGACGTGGGCAGCAGGTGGACACGCTGGGCGTGGGGTGGGGACGTGGCAGCAGGTGGACACGCTGGGCGTGGGGTGGGGACGTGGGCAGCAGGTGGACATGCTGGGCGTGGGGTGGGGACGTGGGCAGCAGGTGGACGCGCTGGGCGTGGGGTGAGGACGTGGGCAGCAGGTGGACACGCTGGGCGTGGGGTGGGGACGTGCAGCAGGTGGACACGCTGGGCGTGGGGTGAGGACGTGGCAGCAGGTGGACATGCTGGGCGTGGGGTGGGGACGTGCAGTAGGTGGACACGCTGGGCGTGGGGTGAGGACGTGGGCAGCAGGTGGACACGCTGGGCGTGGGGTGGGGACGTGCAGCAGGTGGACACGCTGGGCGTGGGGTGAGGACGTGGCAGCAGGTGGACACGCTGGGCGTGGGGTGGGGACGTGGCAGCAGGTGGACATGCTGGGCGTGGGGTGGGGACGTGCAGCAGGTGGACACGCTGGGCGTGGGGTGAGGACATGGGCAGCAGGTGGACACGCTGGGCGTGGGGTGGGGACGTGCAGCAGGTGGACACGCTGGGCGTGGGGTGAGGACGTGGCAGCAGGTGGACACGCTGGGCGTGGGGTGGGGACGTGCAGCAGGTGGACACGCTGGGCGTGGGGTGGGGACGTGGCAGCAGGTGGACACGCTGGGCGTGGGGTGGGGACGTGGCAGCAGGTGGACACGCTGGGCGTGGGGTGGGGATGTGGCAGCAGGTGGACACGCTGGGCGTGGGGTGGGGACGTGGGCAGCAGGTGGACATGCTGGGCGTGGGGTGGGGACGTGCAGCAGGTGGACACGCTGGGCGTGGGGTGGGGATGTGGCAGCAGGTGGACACGCTGGGCGTGGGGTGAGGACGTGGCAGCAGGTGGACACGCTGGGCGTGGGGTGGGGACGTGCAGCAGGTGGACACGCTGGGCGTGGGGTGGGGATGTGGCAGCAGGTGGACACGCTGGGCGTGGGGTGGGGATGTGGCAGCAGGTGGACATGCTGGGCGTGGGGTGGGGACGTGGGCAGCAGGTGGACACCCTGGGCGTGGGGTGGGGACGTGGCAGCAGGTGGACACGCTGGGCGTGGGGTGGGGACGTGGCAGCAGGTGGACACGCTGGGCGTGGGGTGGGGACGTGGCAGCAGGTGGACACGCTGGGCGTGGGGTGGGGACGTGGCAGCAGGTGGACACGCTGGGCGTGGGGTGGGGACGTGGCAGCAGGTGGACACGCTGGCCCCGGGAAGCGGCAGGCACACACTGGCTGTTTGCTGCTTCACTCCACACCTGACTCCCTCGGCAGCCTGAGTGTCGGCACTGCTCTGTCCCAGTGCTGTGGACTGGACTGCCTCCAGTCGAAGCAGGGCTGGTGTGGGCGGTGGGACCCACGTGAACTCCCAGAGCCACAGACCTGCCCAGGAGGGCTCCCCCCCGAGGCTAACGTAGGAACCCTCTAAACACAATCCTGTCATACCTCACTCCTTCAACCATCGGCTCTTGGAGGACTCGGCTGACCCTGAAGTAAGTCCGCCCTCGTGGTTCATTTAGTTAACACAATACTAGTCGGAGAGCAGCAAGGTGCTCATTTTGAATTAGGTGTGTGTGAGGGAGGGAGGGAGGGGGACTGAAAAAATGTTTTGGTTTTCAGTCACTAAAAAGGAGGAAAAACAACCTATTTGTTGAATGAAATGGCAGTTTCTGT